TTGGGTACTGTTTTATGGTATATTTTTCCAGCCTTTTACTTCCCAAATCCAGCATTTTTTATTTTTAATTTGAAGTGTGTCTCTTGTAGATCATATTTAGTTGGATAAGATTTTTTATTTCCATTTTGCCAATCTTTGCTATTTGATTGAAGTGTTTCTACCATTTACATTTAATATAATTACTATAAAATAGACTGTCATTTTGATATTTGGTTTCTGTCTTTTTAATCCTCTACTACTGGCTTCTTTTGTGTTAAATAGATATTTTCTAGTGGTATCATTTTGATTCCCTTGGTGTTTATTTTACTAAGTATTTTTTAATTATTTTATCAGTGGTTGCACAGCATAGTTCAATCTAATACCAACTTAATTTCAGTAGTATACAAAATATACTCCCATATGGCTCCATCCCTTTGCCTCCTACTTGTTATTACTGTCAAACAAATTACATCTTTATACCTTATAAACTAATTCAGGCATTTTTGTAATCATTGCCTTAAGTAGTTTTCTTTTACATCAGATAAGAGAAAAAAGAGTTATAAACAAAAATACATGTATACTGTCTTTTATATTTAACTATATTTTGAAGTTTACCAGTGTTTTTTATTTCTTTGCATGTATTTGATTTTCTCTCTAGTGTTCTTTTATTTCAGCTTGAAGAATTCCTTTAGTATTTCTTGCAGAGCTGGTCAACTAGAGACAAATGTTCTGTTTTTGTTTTCTGAGAATGTCTTAGCTTCTCATTTATTTTATTTATTTATTAAAAAAAATTTTTTTATGTTTTATTTATTTCTGAGAGAGAGAGAGAGAGAGGGAGCAGGGGAGGGTCAGAGAGAGAGGGAGACACAGAATCTGAAACAGGCTCCAGGCTCTGAGCTAGCAGTCAGCACAGAGCTCAATGCGGGGCTCAAACCCATGAATCATGAGATCATGACCTGAGCTGAAGTCAGAGGCTTAACCGACTGAGCCACCCAGGCGCTCCCTTATTTATTTTTAAATGATGGTTTTCCTGGACCTAGAATTCTTGGTTAACAGTTTTTTTCCCTTCAGTACCTGAGTATATCATCTCATTGACTTTTGGTCTCCATGGTTTCTAAAGAGAAGTCAGCTTTTAAACGTCTAAAAATCCCTATGTGTGATGAATCATTTCTCTCCTGCAAGATTCTCTCTCTCTTTTTTTTTTTTTTACAACTATTGTAAAATATACATAATGTACAATTTATCATTTAACCATTTTTAAATGTATAGTTCTGTGGCATTAAGTACATTCACTTGTTATAATTGTTGTGCGACTACCACCATCATACATCTCCAAAACATTTCATCTTCCTAAACTGAAATTCTATACCCATTAAACAATAATTCCCAGCTTCCCATCTCCCCAGCCCATGGAAACCTCCATTCTACTTTCTGTCTCTATAAAGTTGCCTATTCTAAGTAGGCATGTAAATGGAATTACATAACATTTGTCATCTTTTTGTCTCGCTTATTTCACTTTGCATAATGTTCCCAAGGTTTATCCCATGCCATAGCATGTGTTGGAATTTTGTTCCTTTTAAAGCTAAAAAAATTTCTAGTATTTGTGTATACATCTTGTATATCCATTCATTCATCATTGGACATTTGGATGGTTTCCACATTTTGGCTACTGTGAATAGTGTTGATATGAATATTGGTATCATGTCTTGGCTTTTGATAGTTTGACTATGATGTGGCCCGGTGTGAATCTCTTTGTGTTTATTCTACTTGGAATTCATTAAAATTCTTGAATGTGCAGACTCTTGTTTTTTTATCAAGTTTGGGAAGTTCTCAGTCACCATTTCTTCTGCCCCTTTTCTCTTCTATATTTCTGGGGCTTCCATTATGCATATGTTGGTACACTTGATGCTGTCTGCCAGGTCTCTGAGGCTGTTCATTTATCTTCACTTTTTTTTTTTCTTTCTGTTTTTCAGACTGAATAATCTCAATTCACCTGTCTTCAAGTTCACTGATTCTCTCTCCTGTCAGCAATCATGGATTTTTCATTCAATTATTTCACTTTTTAATCCCAGAATTTCTATTCAGTTCTTTTTATAATTTTTTCTCTTTAGTTATATTCTATATTTGGTGAGACATCAATCTCATAAATTCCTTTAATTCTTTAAACATGGTTTCTTTTAGTTTTCGAAACCTATTTATAATAATCGATTTAAAGTATTTTTCTAGTAAGTAGATTGTCTGGACTTCTCCAAGTAAAATTTGTATTGGCTGCTTTTTTCACCTCTTTAAGGGCCATACTTTTTTAAATTTATCTACCTGTCTCATTCATGTTGTAATTGGTGTTGCTGAAAATTAGACGTTTAAAATAGTATAATGTGGCGACTCTAGAAGCCAGATCCCTCTCTCTTTTCCAGGTGGTGTTGTTGCTGCTGCTGTTGCTGTTTGTTTGCCTAGTGACTTTCCTGGATTAATTCTATAAAGTCTGTATTCTCTGTTGTGTGTAGCCAGCAGAGAATTCTTTGCTTGGTTAACTTAGTGTTTTAGTTAATGATTGGTTAGAGATTTTATTGAACACATGAACCAACATGTTTCCTCAGCTCTTGCTGAGGGACTCTATGTGCATATTGAGGCATGGCTTCAAAGATCCAGTGTTTACAATTGTGCCTTAGCCTTTACTTCCTGATTGTCCAGAGCCTCAAGGTGAGCTTGATGTGAGAGTTTAAAACCTGCTACTTCTTATGGGCAGGGACATAGCACTCATATGTGTATCATCTTTTAGATTCCACAAAATTTGCTGGAACTTTTCAAAAGTCAACAAAGGCCTCCCATACTCAGTTCTTCATTTTAACTTTTTTTCATCAGCTTCTTGTTAACCCAAACTGCTAACAATGCTACAGGAAGCTGCAGTGTTAAACAGTTGCTTTTAGTTTTTTCAGCAATTTTCCTGAAGATATTGCTGTTCATACATATGGAGTTCTGAGTCAGGTGAAATAAAGTCAAGTAGTGAGAACGGGGATTTTTAGTGACTGGCCAAACAGGTCAAATAGTAATAACTCTCTAAGGATGGGGCTTTGAGGGAGCTCCAAATCTGATCTTCCTCCTCCAGTGGCTGTTAGGGTGCTTATTTTGCGGCTATCATAGTTGTGAGGCTGTTGGTCTTCAAGATTATCATGATGCTAGTGAGAGGGAGATAGGATGAAGGCAAGTAAAAATACTACAAATCTTTGTGTTCTCACTTAAATTTAGCTTTCTTGAACAAACTCTCTTCAGGCTGTTGTAAGCCTCTAGTTAATTTCCAGAATTCTTTTTTTTAACATTTTTCTTTAATTTTGAGAGAGAGAGAGTGCATGAAAGGGGCCGAGACAGACAGAGACTGAGGATCTGAAGCTGACTCCACACTGTCAGCACAGAGCCCAATGCAAGGCTTGAACTCACAAATGGAACCGTGAGATCATGACCTGAATCAAAGTCAAAGGGTTATCCAACTGAGCCACCAAGGGACCCCTTTTCAAAATATTTTTAAGTTTATTTGTTTGAAAGAGAGAAAGAGAGAGCATGAGTTGGGTAGGAGCAGAGAGAGAGAGAGAGAGAGAGAGAGGGAAGAAAGAGAGTTCCAAGTAGGCTCTGTACTGCCAGCACAGAGCCTGATGTGAGGCTCGAACTCATGAACCATGAGATCATGACCTGAGCCAAAATGAAGAGGTAAATGTTGGACATCCGACCAACTGAGCCACCCAGGCGCCCCTCCAGAATTCTGATAAAGTTGAGTTTGACAGTTATTGCAAGTCTTATTGGTTTTTTTGGAAGAGTGGTATATAGGAGTCCTTATTCTACTGTCCTGAAAAATTGACTCTTGTAATGTAAGTAGAAGTCAAGCATGTAGAGAAAGCAATGAAGAGTGTTCCAGGAAGTAGGGCTAGAAGCATAAGAGAGTATGGTCCATGAAGAGTTGGTTGGTATGGCTGGAAACAGAAGCAGCTTTGCTTAGGAAAAAAGCTTTGGGAAGACAAGAATGAGAATTCAGGCAGTGCCCAAAATACAAGTGGCTTTCTATCCAGATTATTTACCTCTGGTTTTTAAAATTCAGGATTTTAGATCATAATAGGGAAAAGCTGAAGTTTCAAAATACTTATTCCTTTGTTAGCTATATATCTCCAGTTGCCTGACTCTTCCTCAGTCCTTGGGCTCTGTACATTATAACCCGACAACTGCCTATTTTCTCCTCCCCAGGAAAAAGTGAGCACTATGTAGACCTGGGCCCCACAGCCTTGGGCTGACCCCTGGGAGGAGTTTGAGCCTCACCCCTTGCCTCAGAATGCCATTTCTGCCTGAAACCAGAGTGTGCTTTCTCTGGGCAAACACAATGATGTGGTATTAGGTCTACTGATGGAAGCAATAAGATTACAAACAAAAAAATAAGGAGTCATCAGTGTATGAGGGCTGGAAGAAGTTGACTTCTATATTATACTTTCCCCTTTCCTTTTACTTCCCATTTGTCCTTAAAAATTGTTCTTAATTTGATAGTATGACTACCCCACTGTCTGGCCTTCACCCTCCAGCACCAACCCACAGTCCAGATAAGCAGATTTTTGACAAGCTGCATTTCACCTGAGACGTGTAAGCTGTGAAGAGAACATTGTGTGGGGATCAAATCTGGCTCAAATCCGTCTGATCCACCACCGTGAGCAAGTTACTACTACCCTTCCCATCTGGTATTATAGCTCCCTCTCCTGTCAGATAGCAATGATGATCCCAGCCCCTCTCTGACCTAATGCAGACTTTTAAAAAAATGACTTGGGATCAAAGATCCTTAAGCTCTTTGACAAAATGTTCCCACTTAAAGACAAGGCTCTCTCCTCATCCCTGCAAGGATGATTTCTGGCTTAATGAAGATTTATAAATATCATGAGTTCCAGCTCTGGACTCTGTCACTCTGTTCTGACCTTCCAGAAGGGAAGGAATGCCCTATTATTGTGACTTCAGCCCAGATGGGGGAGGGGCCACTGTGGCAGGTGGGAGGACAGGACAGAGACGGGGCCCCAGCACCGCTGCCCCGGTGCTCCATCATTACGCGAAACAGACCAGGTGTGTATTCTAGAACTAGATTCAGCCCTTTAGAACCACGTGGGAGAAATGCAGTCTCCTCTTACTTTTCCCATTAGAAAATAGCCCATATTTAAAAAGAAAACTCTTACTTAAATTTTGCTTAACCATCCAGGAAGCTTTGGAGGAGGGATGCTCGCTAACCCTGCTCCCGCGAGCTGCCGGCCCTGCTCTGCAGAGCGCCGTGCACAGGTCTGCATTCTGTGTGCTGCACAGGAGGGCGTGGGGGAGACCTTCGAGAGGACTGTGCTCCAAGCCGGGGCAGATCAACCAGAAGCTGCTGGATTCCCCCGGGCTGTGAACACAGCATGGAGTGGGAGGAGCAAACTCTAAAACGGTTAGGAGGTTTACTTGACTGACTTCATGATTTCCGGGTGTGGGGCAAAGTGGGAGCAGGGAGCTAAGGATGGCCCCTGGGCTCTGGTTTGACTAACTGGGTGTTGGTCCCATTTACCGAGACAGTGAACAAGCCTGAGGAGGAAGTCACGTGATCTTGGTTTAGGATATGCTGAAGCTGGCCTTTCTAGAATATTCAAGTGCCTGGGTTCTACAAGCAGATACATTGATCTAGGGATAGAGATAGAGAACAAAGGGTATCTGTATTGTTTTTCTTCTTTTCTCTTCTCTTTTTTTAAAATTAAAAAAAATTTTTAATGTTTATTTATTTTTGAGAGAGAGAGAGAGAGAGAGCACAAGCAGGAGAGGGGCAGAAAGAGAGGGAGACACAGAGTTCAAAGCAGGTTCCAGGCTCTGAGCTGTCAGCACAGAGCCTGACACGGGGCTCGAACCCACAAACCGTGAGATCATGACCTGAGTCGAAGTCAGATGCTTAACCGACTGAGCCACCCAGGTGCCCCACCTTTTCTTTCTTTTCTCTTTCTTTCTTTTCTCTCTTTCTCTCTTTCTTTCTCTTCTCTCTTTCTCTCTTTCTTTCTCTTTCTTTCTTTCTTTCTTTCTTTCTTTTTTTCTTTCTTTCTTTCTTTCTCTCTTTCTTTCTTTCTTTCTTTCTTTCTTTCTTTCTTTCTTTCTTTCAGAATAATCATCATAACATCTAGGTCTTTTAGAGCTATTTCTACGGGTCAGTCACTATTCTAAGCACTTCACACATATTAATGCAGGTGGGTCTCTCCGTATGACACAGTTCATACTATCGTGTTGAGAGGCTGTGGGAATACAGCCAGGAGAGAGGAAGAAGTTGAGAGCTTAGTGAGGCCGAGTGGACAAGGAGGTGGGCTACAGAAGCAGAGAGAGAGAGAGAGAGAGAGAGAGAGAGAGAGGCAAGGAGAACTCGTCTGCAGAAACTTAATAAAAGAAGGATGTCTGTGTGTTTACACAAGCAAGGACTTGCCTGATGGTTGGCATGTCCCTGTCAAAAGAGGAACAACACGGAAGGGGGTTGGGCAGAGGGCTTGCGGAGAGTGCAGAGATGGGACAGCCTCTGAGGACAGAGAGGGATATGCTGAGCAGGAGACCATGTGTTCACAGTGGCCCCCTTCTGGAGCAGCCTGGGGGTGCAGGAGGGCGGAGCCAGCCGGTTGTCTCGCCCAGATCCATTCCGCACTCTTCTTATTAATAGAGTCCTACTCTGCTTAGTGAAAGCACTTAGGTATATCAGCTTCCTTTGTATCCATGGGTGGCCTGTGACTGGCCACTGAGATTTAAGCTCATTTTAAGTGGTGGTCCTTTTAAGAAAGGGCTTTTTACAAATTTGTGTGTGAGCACACCCCACTTGAACATACCCTTTGCCTTGTATCCTTCCTATTTTCCTGCCTGGGATGCAGACACAGTACTAGACGTAAGAGCAGCCATGTTGTGACCAAGAGGCAACAAGTATGAGAACAAAAGCCCCGTGTGAACAATGACTGAACTAGGACGCAGAAAGAGCCTGCTGGGAGCACTGTTCATGTGCGTATCAGCCCTGTAGATTTCTTTTATGAAGGAAAAAGTGAAACCCCATTTAATTAAGTCACAGATGCCAGATTCTGTTACATACAACTAAAGGCAATCTCAGTAGGTAGGACAGGGAAAGCAGATGGTGGACTTGATGTAAGAGCGGTTATATAATCAGCCATGGGGTCAAGGCTGGAGAAGGAAGGAATGGGGAGGAAACTGGCCAATGGCACACAGGGCTCCACACATGTATTACGAGAAGGCTGGGGTCCCACGGGAGGATGAGAATTTGGACCTGAGTGTCAATTTTGGACGTGAGTTGTGACACATAGAACAAGACCCAGGACAGATGGAGAAGAGACACAGGTCACTGAGGAGCTGTGGAAGCTGGAACCCACCCCGGCAGAGCTCGCAATGGGTGGCCTTCTCAGGGATGCCTGAGACATTCACTCACGATCAAAGCCATCTTGTTCCTCCTTTCAAAACTTGCTGGGTTTGTAATAACCTCATCTTCGTCCCCGAGGACATCATTTGGCTCTGTTCTTAGCCGTCCATTATGCTTCTTTTCTTTCCCCCTTCAAAGATAATTCTGGTTGCAAAGGTGTTAATGGACGTTTTCCAGAAACTGGTAAGGCTCTGTCAGTAATGTTTCCTGTAGTACTGCAAACACCAAAATTCAGGCTCCAAAATACAATAACCTGGTAATAAATCACCATCCCCTCTGTTCCAAAGAAAATGCCACTTCCAGAGGACATAGGCACTCTTGGGCCTTCACAAAATGATGAATGGCTCCGTGCTGCGACTGCTATTACATAAACCAAGCCAGATCTTGATGCATAATCGAGGGAGGGAGTAGTGAGTTACCAGCCCCCAGTTAGTGAATGCCAGCCCCTCCTCACTGAGCTCTGCCCCGGAGACCTCAGCCCTGGCGCCCCACTTGGACTGAGCTGCTCCTTCTGTCAGCCTGCTCTTTGCCATTCCCAGGGCACTACGAAGAGGCTAACTTGCAACCCAAACATTTAGGTTCTGACAGCAGCTCCCTGTGTTTCTTTCTGCAGGGTCTCTACAGCAGTCTCGAGAATCTTCCGAAATCTCTCTTCAGACTCATTAGCTGGAAAGTGATAAAGCTCTAAGCCATAAGACTGGAAGATTTGTTACCTCAGAAAACATTTCATTTTAATTCTGTAAGAAATTGCTCAGGGTGAATCTTGGCGAGGGTGGGGGGGAGGTGGTTAGAGTGAAAACCAGAGTCAAATCTTTTCATACTCAAAACCACTTGCTGTTAAAATCATTGACTACATTTTTTTTTTGGAATGCTTGACTGATTGCACGCACCCTGCTCTAGAAGTATTGACGGATTCTCAGGCTGTGTTGGTTCCCCAAGCACACATAACACATAATCCTTGGCAAAATTACTAAAGGAATCATTTATATGGGCTGGAAGACCGCAGTTCTGCCGGGAGAATTGCATTATTTCTTATCTCAACGACACTGCTGTCACTCTCCAAAGGGGCCTGTTGCATGGCTCCCCAGAGACGTCCCCCTGCAAGGTTGTGAGGCCAGCTGCAGCCACCTCCCCAGATGGGCTGTGCATCAAGGGCTAGATGCAGAACAGACGCCCTGGCGCTCCGTCCCCGCCGGAGAATGCTTGTGCTCTGCCCCGGGGGACACCGAGGCCACATGGTCTCTGATATGACACTTAATCAACAGAGAAATGGCTCACAGCGCAGGTTCAGGACTGGTGCAGGCCTGGCTTTGGTTGAATTAGTTAGCATCTGTCTAAGCCCGACATTGCATCTACCTCATTGGATTCATACGAGGATGAAATCAGATCAAGCAGCTAAGGAGCCAAGCACAGTGCCCAGCACGTTATGAGCGATCTGTAAACAGTCACTGTCATCCTGGCACTTAGTGACCAAGTTCTCTGCAAAGCTAGGAGTCTTACTTCTGCAGCAAACTGGGGAAACATTTGTTCCTAACATGCACTCAAACCCGGGCCAGCTGGAAAACCAGATTCTCAACCACGTTATGTCTCTGGAGCAGGGAAAGAAAAGAGAACAGGAGATCTCTTAGATTTATAATACAAGGCAGAAATGAACCTCAACTGATTCTTCTTGAGGTTGGGGGGTTCCTAAGAAGGACTGTATGTGTCCTGTGGTGTGTGTGTGTGTATGTGTGTGTATGTGTGTGTGTGTGTGTGTGATGCATCCCAGAGAGGGTACTGCTGGGAGAGTTCTATGTTAATTAAAGGAAATATGGCTTTAAAATTTGAGAAACAGTAATTGGTATATACAATGGCAACATTTGATAGTCCACTGCTCTGGATTTTTTTTTCAACGGGTATCCATTAAACATCCAATCAACCTTTTGAATACTCTCCAGAATAGGAAAGAAATACTTCCCATGCTTGCTGTATTCCTTCTTGCCCTGGCCTCCATGGAGCACTGGCCAGAAGGCTCTGCTCACAGAAGAGTGCTGGTTTGGAAGAGACCTACCAAATATTTATTGAGCACCTACTATGGGCAAGATATGACAGTGACCAGGACACAGCGTCTACCCTTGTGGAGATTAGATGTAGTGAAGACAGATGCTAAGGAAATAATACATAATGTAAGTTAAGATGGTAATACGTGTCCCCTATGAAGGGCATAAAGAGAAGTCACAGAGTAATTCTTGTATGAGGTAGGAGCTGTTGTTGTTAAATAAGACAGATGGTGATGGCCTGTCTGAAAAAGAGAACTATAATCATGGTGATAGACTGGCAATGGGAAGATCCAAGGCAGAGAGAACAGCGTGGAACATTTAGGATGAGGTTGGTTATAAGCAAAAATATCTCCTCACTCATGCCTGGTTGGCTCAGTCGGTTGAGCATCTGTTCATTTCTACTCAGTTCATGTTCTCAACGGTGGTAAGATCATGCCCCGCATCTGGCTTCATGCTGAGAGTGGAGCCTGCTAAGGATTCTCTCTCTCTTCCTCTGCCACACGCATGCTCACTTTCTCTCTCTCTCAAAAAAATCATCTCTACTCAGAAAAAAACGCCTTCAGTAATAAGGAAATCTCTCACATAACAGCAAGTCTGGAGACATGCCCAACAATGGGGATGGTTGATTCAGGAATTTAACAATATGAGGAATTCCTTTCTCTCTCTACTTGGCCATGTTCAGCATGGATTTCATCCCCAGCCCGCCATCCCACAGGACTGTAAAAACAGCTACCAGCAGACTTATCCACACCCACCTCTTCCCTTGGCTCTCTTAGAAGGGAAGACCTTCTTCCCAGACGCCCCTCTGCTGAATTCCCCTCCCTTCTCATTAATCCAATTTGGTTTAGGCTTGTCTGATCTGATCCAGTCCCTGACAAGGGGAATACAATTACCAAGAATGGTCTGGAATAATCCCCTGGAGAACCGATGCTGGAGAATTGAGGCAGTCTCTGCTCTAGGCAAAAGAACACTTGGCAAGTTCAAGTTTAAAGAAACCCAGTGAGCTGAGAGGGCAGGAAAGGGAGGTGAATTTAAAGGGCAGATCTTTTAGGAATGTGTAGAGGAAGCTGTCCCAAGGTTTATGCAGAGGAGGTGATAGAATCTGATTTAAAAAAAAGAGGCTACTCAACACTCACAAAACAGCCTGGAGGGGAAGACTGTGCTGCTTGCTATTTCTCTGGTAGGTGCAAAGAAAAAGGTGGGTTTAACACAGGCTGAAAAAGGAGAAAATCTTCCAACTTCTCCAGAGAGGGCAGTAGCACTGAGTTAAAGAATGACAGCACCGGGGCACCTGGGTGGCTTAGTCGGTTAAGCGTCCGACTTTCGCTCAGGTCATGATCTCGCGGTTTGTGGGTTCGGGCCCCGTGTCGGGCTCTGTGCTGACTGCCAGCTCAGAGCCTGGAGCCTGTTTCAGTCTGTGACTCCCTCTCTCTCTGGCCCTCCCCTGCTCATGCTGTCTCTCTCTCTCTCCTAGAAATAAATAAAACATTAAAAAAAAAAAAATGACAGCACCATCTCCTAAACTAGGCAAACCTGTAACGACAACCTAAAGCCATAATGAAGAGTAATAACCTCAAGTTTATGCCGTAGTCATGAAGCCACAATTGTTCTTGGTAGACACCTGGCTCAGGACATCCATATCAGAAAGGCTGATATTCGGGGCACCTGCTTGGCTCAGTGGGTTAAACATCCAACTTCGGCTCAGGTCATAATCTCACGGCTTGTGGGTTCAAGCCCTGTGTCGGGCTCTGTGCTGACAGCTCAGAGCCTGGAGTCTGCTTCACTTCTGTGTTTCCCTCTCTCTATGCCTCTCCCCCATTCACACTCTGTCTCTCTCTCTCTCTCAACAATAATAAAAAAAACTTAAAAGAAGCATATGAACCAGGTACCAAATGCCCTCAATTTAGAGGAGGAAAAGATGCTAGAACATCACAGCCATCTTAGATGCCAACCAGTCTTTCTGCTCTGAATCAATGAGGGGCTGAGTATCCATTATCCTATGTGGACACAGTCCTTCCATGTCCTAAATAGGCATCATATGGTGGTTTAGGCAACTGGATCAGAAACACCTGGCAAATTGTCCAAACTCCAGCTTCCCTGGCTAGATCCCAGATGTAGAGAATCTGAATCTTCGCAGGTGAGCTCAGGGATCTCTAAAAAGGTTTGCAGGTGCTTCTGATGGTCAGTTAGAAGTGGGAGCCCCTGCACCACCAGGGAGCATTCTACAGGGTCTGTGGTCAAGAAGTCTAGCAGGAGAGGCCGTGAGGCTGGAGGGCTAGAGAGAACAGGTATCGAACTGCACTGTCTACATTCAACTTAATCCCCTATTAGCCTCTTTCTGCTTTGCATGCTTTTCAGCTCTAACCTCTCTGATTATGGGATTCTCTAAAGAAATAGAACTTTTTACATTACTCTGTGCATGCTGGACTACCAGTTAGTGCTCCATGTTAGAACACAAAAGCACCAAAGAATTTTGCACATCCGGTGGGAACAGGAGCGAATAAAGTCAGTGGGATAGTTTAAAACTGTGCCCCGAAGGGTTAATGAGGCTAAAACTAGCAGAAAGTTGAAACCTTGGTTTCCAGAGGACCGTTTGTTTCCCCCTCATGAGCTGTTATGTCTTTTCAGACCCCACTAACAAATCCACTAGTTGGCTCTGCAGAAGCCCGGGGTTCAAGGTCAACTGATGTGGTTCCAGCCTATGAACAAGCAAAGCCCTGAAGTCCTTGCCCGAGATTGATGGAGCCCAAGGGACCATCCATTTTATACCAGTTCCCAGAGCATGCCCAGAGCCTGTGGCTTGACAGTTACCTCAGCCTTATAATAAGTGTTATAATCTCCACCCAGGAAGGAACACAGGCATCATTCCCATAACACGGGAGGCATGTAGCATAGACACATTTTCTAAGGCTTCCTGCACAGCATTCTACCAGCCTTTACCTGGGATGACAAAACCCCCCTTCCTGAAAATTCAGCCTTACCCTAAATAACAGGAACCCACTCACTCCTGCCCAGGGAGTCATGGCTTTGAAAATTATTCCTTGTGATCTTTGCCGCAGATAAAGTTCCCTTGGTGCAACAACAACTGCTGGTTTCTGCCTGCGACTCACCAAGGAAAGGACTCACGTTAGATTGGGTACAGTTTCAGGCACTCCTGATAAGGTGCTAGCTCCACAGTCCAAGTGTGAAGTGGAAACTCACAGGCAGTATGCCACAGACGAAGGTGTCCCTGCATCCTCACATCATAAAAACATGCAACATGTCTTTGAAGGGGGACCCAGTTTTTGCCTTAAGCTACCTCCATTTTGATCTTACTCTATACTTTCTAACTGATGATGTTCCTCTTTCCAGCCTATTTTTCAACCCAGGCAAAAGATCTGGCCGCCAAACATCCTGAGAACAGGACAGACACTCACCCCTCAGGCAATAAGGATTGTCCTAATGCCAGCAGGACCCCGTGTGATTGACCCCGAGTCAATGATCGACTTGACCTCTACTGTCTAGTTGCGCATACCAGCCAACCTGTGTCCCACGTTTTCCTGATACAAACCTGGAAACATTTTCAGCACGTTGGAGACAGGGTCTACGTCATTAGTCTGCTGTCTTTCCCTTGCGAACCTCACCGAAATAAATTCTTGTCCCACCACCAGTCATCTCCCTACCCCTGGATTTACTAGCCACCAGTGGCCAAACCTGGCCCCCTTGGCACACCAGGGCCCAGGTGCCTTTGGACCTTGTGTCTCGGTTACATTTTTACTGGGCAAGCAACTCTGCCCTTTAAACCTAATAATGACTGCAACACGGTGCTGTCACTGGAGCCATACCTGTGATCTAATCCCCTATAATAATCTCAGCAGGTAGCGTTATCCCCATTTCGTAGGGAAGAAAATGAGGCTCCTAAAGTTAGTTGACTTACCCAAAGTCACACACAAAGAGCAGGGGAGGATTCCAGCATAGCTGGTCTCAAGCCGCTAACCCTTGACCATGGCCACCCTCCCACCTTCTGGGTGGGTGACGCTATGGCAAGCTCCAACCCTTGATGGCGGCTCCAGGGTGATGGAGGTGAGCAGTGTCCTGAGCTAGCTGCATATCTGAGGCCCTGAGAAGTAGCTTATAGTGCCATCAAAATGTCCGTCTGATCTCGGGGACTGTCAGGAGAGGCTCCCTTTCCTGTGGCTTGGTGCTGGCCATTTCTCCCTTCTCCACTTTCCCCACCTGCAGGGAGCTCTGGGGGGTGACCTTCGTGGGCCTGCCTTCTGGGTGCTGCCTTTAGGCCAGCGTGTGGCAGAGGCAGGAGCTTGGAGGGTGAGACGAAAGGGAACTCAAGGGGGCTTTCTCTCCTTGGTTCTTTTCCCAAAGGCCCAGTTCCTGCTGGCCAGCTCACTCCTGCAGCCACCTGTCTCTTTGCAGGCTGGGGCCCCTCCCTCCTGTGACCCTTCGGGCCTGAGGGTGGCCCTCCCCTCTGCCGTTGCCAGCCCCCGGGTGCCTCCGCACCTCTTCCTGGTTTCCGGAAATTGTTCTCTATATTGTAAATTATCTGGTCAGGAAAGTCCTCTGAGTCCCCATTTAGAGTGTGACGCCTCTTTCCTGTCAACATGCTGACAGACACAAACCTGTATTTTGGGATGCCTTCAGGAGGGTGCCGTCAACTCCCAGGGGACCATTTCCCTGTCCCCGCAACCTAGTGCTGTGCAGTGCATGCTGGGAAGGGCTGGGCGTGAGTGGTACCCGTGTGAGTGTGTGAGCCGGTGGGTGGGCATCGGTGTCCAAGTGTGTGGGACTGTGTGTACAAGTGTGTGCGAACGTCTGTGAACTGGCATGTGAGAGTGTGTACGGGTGAGTGGGTGGGCGAGTCGCACGCTGCCACGGCACTGGGTGGGTAGGATTTCCGGGCAGTCCTATAAAGCCCCATCACCCGCCGCCCCACAGTCTGCCCAGGCTGTTGGGGGGCCACACCTTCCGGGCCTACTCCCACCAACTGGAAACCCTCTCTTTCGCCTCCCATGGCTCCCCAGGGGTGGTGCCTGCTCCTTTAATAACCATGACCGAGCCTGGCTGATTACTCTGTTCCACATAATCTGCGGGGGACTTTCTGTACATGTCATTCTAGCTCACTGGTAAGGTAATAGCGTGGCTGTCATCTCTGCCAACCAAGCACACCTTCTTTCTGCAGCCTCCGAACTCTCAATGGGGCACCTGGCAGAGTTGGGGACCATCAGAGTAGTATGCCCCAGCTCTGATCCATGCTTGGTTCAGGGCTGGGCTTGGGGCTCAAGCCAGCTTGATGACAGCCTCCCTCTGGACGTTTGTGGCTGGTGCTGGCAAGACCCCTCTGTTCTGCCTCTCGGGGCCCAGAGCTGGTAGCGGTATGAGCTCCCTGTGCCATGGCCCCACCAGTGCGTGAGGCCCAGTAGGAGAGAACAAAGAGACATGAAGAGGGAGCAGGAAAGCCAGAGATTCAAGCTCTGGTTCATGTGGCCTCAGCTCTATCTCTGCCTTACATAGCATGTGAGCCAATGCCCCCATTTCTGCTTAAGCAAACTTGAGCAGAGGAAGAGAACCCAGCTAGTACACGGACCTGTTATTATTTTGTCCATTTAGCAGATGAAGACTCTCAAGCTCAGAGAGAGGAAGTATTTGCCCAAGGCTCCTCTCTGATGGGGGTCAGAGCCGGCCTGGGCCCTGGTGTTTGCTCACAGCCCCTGCTCTCAACCCCATGGCCCTGTGAGTCCTCTAGGGACAGCTCTGAGCCCCTCCCTCTGTCCCAGCAAATTATATCTGCTCTGTAGGAAAATCATACCATCCTGGAAACCTGGTGGATAAATTGAATAGAGGTATAGGGAGTGGAGGTGGGGGGCAGGTAGGGATCGATGGTAGGAAAGAAGAATCTGCCAATCTGGATCTCAGATGACATGGCTTACAGGAAGCAGGATACTCTGGGCTTCTTAAAATTTCCTGCAAAACTTTTCTCTAGGCAGTGTGTGTTGGGGCTTCTATGGGCTTGAAGGGTGGTGAAGCACAATGCTGGCCTCTCTTGATCATTTCTCTGTATGCCGAGGACTCTTCCCCAGAGGAAGGAAAATGGGGCTCAGCTGTCTGCCATGGCCCCATCTGTATCATACCCTGGGAACACAAAGTGAAGAAGTAAAACAGAAAAAAAAAAAAAAAAAAAAAGCTGGGTTTTAGACCTAAGAGCCCTTGAAAAGGCAACAAAAACATTTAGATTATTTTCATTTTCTCAAAAATAAAAAAACTCACCAGGGGTGTTTAAAATGGCATATACAAAGGTGGCTCTAAATCCATCCATCAGCAGCTGCAAAACGCAGAAAGACTGAAGGAGAATAAAATCTCCCAAAAGAAGGGATGATTCACTTGCTCTCTATATAGACAGTTTGCTATGTCATTTAACACCTGCAAATACGTCTACTAAGGAGCGCTGCTAAGGTCAAATTGGATAAAATATATTTGGATGCAGTCAGATCAATTCGTGTCCAAAAGACCTTCCAGGTGAATCCCTGCTTGTTGTCCCGAGGCTGAAGCATTCTGGGGAAATGTGGTGGGTCCAGGTTTGGATCTGTGGGTTTACTAGGCGTTCATTCTGAGCGGAAGGGAATCTGCTGTATGTTTATGCCATCCTGCCCTGCAGTGCACAGAGAATCTAGGAAAATCTGCACAAAGGCTGCTTATGTGCACAGCAAAAATGGACTCTGGCACAAGGAGGAATTCTTCTGTGTCTTTTGTAGTTTTCTTAGCACTCCCCGCCAAGCATTCTCTGTTCCCCACCATCATGGTGGCTAAGGAACCCATGGCTCTCCCTCAACTATTTGCTTGGCTTTTCCCACCTTAACTCCTACTTGACTTCATCCACACCAGATAGGTGCCTTCATTTCCCCAACTATGAGGTAACGAAAGTTAACTAGGTTGCTATGAAGATTGACAGAACTAATCAAGACAAAGCAATTAGGTGCTTGGGTCAGGGTTAACACCCAGTAGAGGTAGTGATAATATTATCATTTTTCTCAAAAGCCATTTTTCTTTATTTCCCACTTTTGCTTCAAAACTTGTCATCGTTTCTAGGTCTTCATTCAGCTGTATAGTATTCCAAGCTATCTCACTATCTCTAAATGTCCCCGACCTAATTTCTCACTTCTGTCCTAATTTGCATCCTGGAGATCCACTGACGTCTATATGCCCTCATTCAATGTTTGCAGAATTTCCAGTTTGTGCCCGGTGCTGTGCTAAGTGAGGCAAAATAAAATGAGTCACAGTATCCTTTTCTCCCTGGAGATAACAAAGCTCTCCCCCACTGTTCTGCTTTATTAAAAGTCACTGGTGGTCTCTGTTTCTTGTTTTTGATTGATATGTGGTATAGAACTCTGCTCTCCACTGTGGAAAGAGGTGTGCTGGGGACCACAATGGTAAAAACACGTGACTGGATAGAAGAATTGTAGGAATGTAGCTCAGTGGCTATGTCATGCCCTGAGCATGTATTCATTTCTCAAGATGGCCAAAGAGTGTGACATCGGAGTTCTGGTGTTGAAGTTTAATTTGGGATTCAACTGAAGTTTACAAAGAAGCCACAGTCCACAGAGGCACATTGACTGCGTATCAAGGTTGTGGCCTTGGATCTTGACCAGTGGTCTCAGAAAAGGACGGAGGTGGCAGGCCCGTGCCCTCAGGGTACATAGCACTCAGCATACTGCAGTATCTGTGCCTTCATGTGCCTGTCTCCCGATTAGCTGCTGGGCCCCATAAGTACAGGGACCCTGTCCGATTGACTGTGATCCTTCCTGCACTGTAAAACTAAGCTCATGGACCAAAAAGGTTGAACGCACCCATTGGTCTCAGAGAAACACTGTCGGCTCCTATGAAAGGGCAGGGGAAGTATCATTTCCTCAAAATGATTCCATGAGAAAATAGAGCTGCCATGTTTGTTTCTTACATCTGCTCAAGGATGGAATATGGGATTTGCCATTCATGAGAGCAGAGAACACACATTTACATCTAACCCAACGCCTCTACGGTGGAATGGGTACACCTAAGACATACAACATGACCACTGGGTGAGAGAAGAAAGGATAGGGATTTTATATTTAACTTAACGTCAGCTGTTAAACATGTATATTTTATAATGTTCCTAATCTTTTACCACAATAGGACATGTAAATAATATAGAATATATGTGTATCTGTTGAGGACGCTAAACATCTATTATGGAGATGGGTATAATATGGAGGTTTGGGAAGTATGGATCTGAATATTTATATTCAGCATCTGAACTGTATAACTTCTGAATGAGTATTACTAAGCACCTAAATACATGTATGATGTCACTTGTGATTTGCCCATGGTTCTTCCCAGTCTTAGGTCAATTTCCTCTTCCTAGGAAGGGTAAACATGAATTTCATAGGTGAACAGGTGGGTGAGGGGGTGAGGATGGGCCTACGGGTGGTCCCTGTGTGAGTGCCAGGGATTCTCAGAATCCTTTGAAACAATACAGAACATACCCCTAAAAGATTAAAAACCACTGATCTAATGAATATTGGAGGACATTTTTAGGGAAATTTTTATCAGCTAATATAATTAAAAATGCTTAGAGGCATTTTATTCCTCTTTATTATTCTTCAGGTAATATTTATTGATTATGAC